CTTGTCCCAAGTAGTATTTGCCCGTCTCCCTTCATATTCACAGGCAACATCTGTTACCCGTGCTAGGTGTATTTCTTACTATGAAAACAACCGATGATTTAATTACAAGCAGCTGAAAATGATGAAAACCCTTTATGTACTCCAACACCACCGAGCTGCATTTTAAACAAGCCTAACATCTATTTTTCTTTCCCACACAAGCTTATAAATTTTAGAAATAAATATATCTAATAATTGCTCTCGTGAGCCCGTTTTTCATATCACAGCTTGGCACAACCTAAGAAAGTATTTTAATGTACCCGCCCACATAAGGCGCGCCTGCTACTAATTGCGTCTGCTACAGTCTTGCTCACTCACACACAGTGATGTTCTCCGACAATGAAGACACTAATCGTCCGGCGTCTAAGGTCAGTCCAGAGAGTGCACTCATTGATGCATGCTTGTGAGCATCTGCCTTTGAAGTAGAAATGCTGCTTCCTGTTAGAATTCCCGCTAGAGTTGCACTAGATAATACACTATTCCTTAGCAATGTTCCCCCTCCTTTTTTTTTCTTCTAAATTTACATTTAAAAAAAAAATGTCGTGTTTCATGTCTAAAAACAGGACCTTAGCCCATAGACTGATGCTGTGGTAGTGGTCTTCTGGTTAGTGTTGATCAATTTGGTTTTCTAAATGCGCCCCTGAAACATAGCACATGAGCGTCGGCTCTCCGTGTCTATCGAAATGCACCCCACTGCAGTCACGCTTGGCAGTGCAGTTCTATTGAGCTTAGAGGTGGGACCACATTGTCATCAAACCACTGTGAGAAGTTTTTTTTTGCGTAAGCTGTCCCTTTAAGCCGTCGCACCTTTCCCCGCTACTTTCCTGAACAAAGCAATGCCTAAGGCATGAGACAGCATTACGAAGCCACTTCAAGAGGGTTGACAAACACAGGAATACCCTAACAGATTCATCAGAACAATTGTTGGGCCATTTGGAACATAAGCCATAGTTGCCTTTCCCCGTGCTACCCTTTTTCGTTCTTTGCAAGTGGTCTAAAAAACGTTGTACCCACAACACCGACGAAATCAGCTGGCTACGATTGATGTGTGACAATGTAGTGGTGAAAAATCATGTGATAGGCATCTTCGAAAAATCAAGGATGTGGTACTAATTGTAGCTAAACTGTACATACTTAGCCAGGAGCATGTGCAGGGTAAATTACCTCATATAGTTTTTCTTAATTTTTCTCTCTCGCTAAAAGCTTTCAATACTATTGCTCCTATTATAAGAGAAAAAAACTAATAGGTTGGCTATCAGTCAGAGAATTATGGCTCTATATCTTTTTTTTCCTGATTCACACCTCAACAAGGAAGCAATGACATCAACTGAATGAAAAAGATTACACAGAATCTCTCTGTACTTGGGTGATTATTTTGTGCACCTTCAGTTTAGGCCTAAGCTTCAAAGGCACATGGCTTTGAAAAATTGACTAGCACAGAATATATTCTGTTACACCATCCTTCGGGTCTAAATGAAAAACTGTGCTTGGTTTACCCATTTTCTCGAATATGCCAAGCCTCCAGCCAAGACAAGATGTGTCATGTGAGTTTTTCTTTACTAGCCTTGCTTAAATTGGTCCTTACCCCCCATCAGGGCATTTCTAAATGCCGTTTCCCAGGACTTATTCACAACTTTCTCACTATAACTAATGCAATTTCTGTAATGTAAATAAATTAATGTTCAACTATGCATAACTGCAGGTAAATTGAACCCAGAATATACAATCAGTTGTTTCGATAAAAGCCGCATCACTAAAAATTTACAAGAGCTTTGAAAGTCTTCTGTGAAAGTTTTGTGCAGCTGCTAACTCATTCGTGAGGACCAAGCAGGCATACTTCAAGCATGAATTGAAGGCATTGTCTTCGTAAAGCTGCAGTCATTTCATCATGTACACTTTGCAAGAAACGAGAGTAGAGCCATAGACAGCATAAAAGAAAGAACATAAGGAAGGGGCAATAGAACTTTTTATTTATTTTTTTTCAGGAACTGTGTGTTGCTCACTTCTTAATGAAACAGACAATAAAAAGATAGAGTGGAAACGTGCATAGACACATTAGGATGAAATCACTCGTTAAAATTACGCTTCCCAAAATGTGCTGAAAGATCAAAAAAAAAAAAAGGACATCATACTTGTAAGCAAGAAGGAGAAAGCCACATTATACAGCATTGCTGAATGTTAGTGGAATGCATTGTTAAAAAGATTGTTACATAGTATACAATTACCATGATGAGCATGAATGACTTATACTACACGAAACCTAACACATACAAAACAGTGGCAATGCCCATTGTAAAGGTCCATTTCACAACTTCCGAGTAGTTTCGTTTTTTGTCTAGTCAAGAACACCAAACACGGTTTCAGTTTCAGGCACCACCACTCAAAAACCAGCAAGCGTTTTGACCTGCTCAGTCATGATATCCTGTAACAAGTTTCATGACATGGCTGCAGTAGCTGTGAATAACCATTTCATCTGCCATGCAAAGATCGGAATGAATGTATGAGTAGAATTGGGGCACAAAATGTACAAACGCATTTAGCAGCCACTTTGATTTTTTTAATGTCCATGTCGAAAACTTCACCTTATAGACTAACTTAAACATGCTCTACTAAAGAAATTATGTCCTATATGTGCGTATTTAAATACAACCATTAATAAAAACTGTTAGTTATTCCACCGTTACAGCCGAGGTGCAGCTGTAACATTGGAACAAATAAAAGTTTTTCATGTTTATTCTCTGGGTACACTGACAACTGCCTCATAATAAATGTGCTATGTTGTAACGGAGCCATTCTCCTCAGCAGTGACATGAAATGTTTTTTGCCAACACGCACATATATCACGTTTACACTGTTGTATGCTGTAGTGACCAATTGCCAAGGCACTTCAGCTGTTGGCAGACAGTGAACTAAGAAAGAAAGAAAGAAAAGAAAGGGCGTCCTAATGGAGTGATCGTTATGTCAGTACTGCCATGCAAGCTACTATTCCAGTCTTTTCAGACAAATTATTCTTTTGTCGAGTAGTACAATCACCGAAGAATACATTGCTTGAAAGAATAAACCCTTGATATAAGCCCACTCCTATTGTATATCCCTTTCTAGGGTCGCATACTTATACTGTTTTCTGCTCAAGCCGCGAACAAGCTATCCCAAATGTCAATGCTTCCGAAGTGACATCATATGAGGCCGCCAAACCAAAATTATATTAGCGTGTACTACAAGGGCGAGTTAATGCTGAGAGCCGGTTAATATAGAAAGCACAAAGAAACAATAATCAATGGCTAACCCTTAAGATCTGCTAAGTACAAGCACAACAATCCTACCTTCACGTTTTCAAAAAATGCACTATTGCGTAGTTATCATAAGCAGGGTGCTTTTATGTGCGCACAATCCCAAGTGAGCATGATGTTTGAATAATCGACAAAGTTTTTGAGTATTCCACACCACATTATGTGGATACAGTTCCAGGTGAGGGCAGGTCAAAAACTTAGCAACATGCATCCATTTTCTATGACAACTGTATTTTTCGTGATATTACTTTAAAATGGTATGCCGCACATTTTAGATGTAGCTTTTTTTTTATTTCATGTTGCTATATGACAAAAATGTGCCAGCTAAAGAACATCAAGCTGTGTGCTGTATTTGAAAAAGACCATGTTAAAAATCCGGTTAAGAAAGCATTACATTCAATAATAACAACTAATCCAAGTCCTAATTTTGAACTTCAGTGAATTAACGCAAAATGCATGCCATGTGCATTACGCGTGCAGTCTAATTTGTGTGAAATGTTGGTTTCTGCTCACAGATTCAAATACAGAATCATCTGAATACAAATTTTAGAAACTACCACCATAAAACATTTTTTTTAAACTAAAGACATTACGCAAGAAGTCCGAAGAAAATACTTCCACAGGCTATCACATCTTTACAAAACACTATAAGTACTAACTGCCACTCAAAAATGAGCACACACACACACACACACACACAAAATATCGAAATGCTCATTCTGCAAATATCGGTGAATTTGCGGAAAGTACACGATAAATCAATCAGCCGCAGTGCTACGGGAAAGCCCAAAACGGCAGTTTACACGCGATAAAAACAAATTCTGCAAGAAAACCTACGCAGGAGTTTCGGTTACGTTAGCACAGCGAGTGGCCGCGCAAAATACGCGCGGGGAAACAAGCGGCCACCACATGCTCGCACTGTTTACATAAGTAAACATCAAACGAAGTTCTGCGAGGTCGCTTTCAAACGCACGCTGTGTTGTACTAGCAGTCATTACATCAAAGGTACGAACGACGAAATGCTGATTACAAACTTTTTTTAATCAAAGAAGCGCCTACGAAAACATGTAAACAAACCCGCTAATGAAGCCGACCGCTATCGTTAACGATGTCGTAAAAATGATTGAGTGTCGGTATAATGGCGCGGAATGCGGTTGATTCACTAAAATTGCAGCAATAAACACCGACTATTTTCGAGTGATTCGCGCGAACACAACAATAAACTAGTAAGCTCACAACCCGTTCAATTTGGAGAGCGCGCGCCTAAACTAATCCGACAGCCGCGAAAACGTCATCGGCGAAGGGATCGCGATGTTCCCGTGGTACCGAATGAGCCAGCACGGCACAGGTCAAGAATAAGCACAACTAATCGTTTATTCAAAGCACCGCATCCAACCCAGAACCACATGTCACACACCCGCGCTCGTCGGCCGGTGGAGAGGCACTGTTTACACGCTACGCGAGCGCCAACGGCAAACAACAAACTGCGCGAACGATCGGTTCCACCGTCGCCGCGGGTCCCCAATAATTCTCAACGCACAACATCAACGATGCAACGGCATCCAGCGCGAAACGTGCAGACCAAAACACCGGGGAGCGATTTAACCACCCGCCATTGCATGTCAGCGGCCAATCACAATTCAGAGTAGATTCTTTGTGAAATGTACTCACACATTCTTCCTCTTTTTCCATTCCCGTCGGCATCTGAGGCACTGCTCTGTTGATCGCAGCGAAATCCGGGAGATCGGGGATTTCTTCTGACCGGAATATGGGCATGGGCTTGGAGGCGTCGAGCGCCCGAGCTCGGAACGAAAGCTTGCTCATCCCGCCGAGTGGTTCTTAGTCCTCGTACGAGCACCACGAGGCCACGCGATTGCAAGGCAGATAGCACTCCAAAAAACCCGCCTAGACGGGTTTTTGTGGTTCGATTAGAAAGAGTAGAGTTTCTAAATTTAGTCCATGGTGAAGCTGGGTATCTCACCTCCCTGACGAATGCATAATAAGCGCTTTACTCGAAGGTATAGAGGAAATTTTTCAAAGACCATCATGGCGGTCGTCAGCCATGCAATCCCATCAACCTCCTCGAAGTTGACGATGCACCTAGTGACATCTGTTACGCGCGACGGAAACTACGAAAGTGTTGTTTTTAACGAACTTTCAAACTTTGCCCCAGCTTTTTTCGAAATTTCGCTCGCAAAAGAACCTAATGATCAACTCGTAATTTTTCAACTAGCTCTTATTAGATTTTTCGGTGCTCAAATTATCTTGTCATTGCTTTTATTTACCTGGAAAACTTGGCCTACGCTGAGTGTTGCGCACGAAGTGGGTTGTTTACGACAGTTTGAATTGCGTATTCGAAATCGTAAAACGTACGCGGTGCATTTGTCAGGCGTAATTTCAATGAAAACATTTATCGCAATTACAAATGTACCTCTCGGTGCTTCCGATACATGTTCTTGAGTGTTTATCTTTTTCGCTCGGGACCACGCGACCGCGCCCGCCCGCACTTTCGAGCGCATTTCAACGCGCTTCGGCAGTGGCGCCATCTCTGAAATTATGTGCAAAGCAAAGCGTGACGCGCACCTCACGAAGGAGGGCTAGGGAATGCGCGCGTCGCCTGCCGCAGTGGGTCCGATAATAAAGGCGTAGTTCCCCGCGCCGATCAAGAGCTGATTGTTTTCGCTCTCGGTGCCTTCACCCACGAAAGCGCGCGCCCGAAAAGTGGGCGTGCTTTCCGCTACTGTGCGCGCCTTCTTTCTCACTTTCATGCTTTCGCTGGGCGAATCACTATTTCAAAGTCAATTTGAAAAGCGCCAAAATAAGCCTAGCGTATTCACAAACATGCGCGCCTTGTCTGGCTTCGTAGTGCGCCACGCGAATGGAGAGAGAAAGTTCGCGCTTGCCGATTGCGATTCGGTGCACTGTAATTCTGTCTATTGAAATCATAACGCCATCATATTTCAATTTTGAACCGACAGTACTGTATATCCCAGGTTTTTCTAGTGACGTGCACAGTTGAACGCAACGTGAGGGATGTGGCGCGCAGAGAGTTGAGGCATGCGCTTTCTTTCGGGCACTTCGGGACAGCCATCATTCACAGCACTTAATTACATAAAACCATCATGCTTGTATAATAAATGGCCTATGGGAGTACTTTCTGTGCTCGCTGAACCAACGTTTTAGGACCCGCATGCGTTACCACGTCCAATTTTTATTTTTCCAATTGGTGTTTAAAAAAAAAACAAAAATTTGCGCTTTGGGTAGTTCTTATACCCCTTTTCATTTATATTTAATTGGCTTTACGCCTGCTATTGCTTCACGTAGGAGCGGGTCTGTCACCATCTTTATTTTACGTGATTTTTCTCTCCGGGTGACGGAGAGTTCGAGGTGGAAGAGGGGGGTGAGTATGTTGACGAAAGCAAGATGAGACCGTGCGGTTGGCTCATGCTGAACTGGCGTGTGTTGCGCAATGAACTTGGTGACGTCACAGATCAGTGTGGTGTGCACGTGTCGCTGCGCCACCGGAGGTTTTTTATTTATTTTTTTCTACACTGATAGGTGTATTTCTTCTTTCACGGTGGCGTTAATTGCCATGAAGAACACCAAATGCCAGTTTAATTATAAGACGGTACGGGCGTAGGCATACATAACCTCTGAGACACTTGAATTTCGACAATTTGAGATTCTGCTACACGTGTAGATATCATATGTTGCTTAACATTTTCTTTTTTTTTTAAGCCCCACGGCGGTGGTTTAGTGGCTAAGGTACGCGGCTGCTGACCCGCAGGTCGCGGAATCGAATCCCGGCTGCGGCGGCTGCATTTTCGATGGAGGCGAAAATGCTGTAGGCCCGTGTGCTCAGATTTGGGTGCATGTTAAATAACCACAGGTGGTCAAAATTTCTGGAGTCCTCCACTACGGCGTCTCTCATAATCATACGGACGTTTTGGGCACATGTCAATCGTTAACATTTTTTATGAGGTAGATCTATTTACTTGATCACGCGAAGTGTGTAATGCATGCCATGTATTTGCACAGTGCAGTTTACTATGTTCGCCTTCTTTCTTTTTATTTATTTTTTCCTTGTCTGTGTTCAAGTGTAGGTGCCCATGAATGTGTAATGGCTTTTTTTAATCATTATTGCTACAGTTTACGAGGAAAAAACGAAGCAGCACTCCATGACACGCAGACGCCGTACGAAATTTATTTTCTGCTTGCAAGCCGCCTCTCTAGCTGAGGCACTGGAATGTCGACAAGTTGAGATTGTGCTACATCCAGATAGGTTATGTTGCATAAAATTGAGGTAGATATTTACTTCACACGAAATGTATATATTGAGATGTACTTGTGTAGTGTAGTTCACTCTCTTCTTGCGTGTGCGTACGTGTGTGTGTTTACTCATTTGAGTTGCGCTAAGTAAGCTGCAAATGATGCACCGTCCTTCGCCTACATGATAGGGACGATCGACCGAACGCTCTGCAAACGGCCGGCTGTATATCAGAACGGCGCAAAATAAACACGGCCAATATGCAACCGCTCTGCGACTTGCCCGTTTCAATTGTTTCGCTGTTTTTTATAGCTATGCACACGTACCAACTGAATCGCATTCACTCGCTATTAAGCTGAGAATGCAAACAATTTAGCGGAAATAAAGCGCATCACCAAACACTATGCCAGTCAAATGTATTCCATATGAAACAGCCAGCCATTCACCGCTATTTTAATCCATGGTAATGCGAAAAAAAAAAAAGATAACACGAAGAAGTCGCAATACAAAGGGCATGAAAACCACGGCCCAGAAGCAGATATCACGTGTTCGCGATTACAATTGTTCAGAAAATTCGATCTGTTTATATTTACGCTTATTTCTTTATTTAGACATTTACTCGCTCGAGTGTGGTGGGGGGGGGGGGGGGGGGTAGGTCAACGCAGCTGTCCGAGAAAGCATCCCCTGCTTTCAAAGAATGTGCATGAATATCGACCCACCTTGGTTAAGGTTGCGGGATCGAAACCCAGCCGTGTTTTCGATGCAGGCGAAACGGTATAGAGGTTCTGTGCCATGTCAGCACTCGGTAAAAACACCAGATTATCGAAATTTCTGCAGTCCCGTACCCAGGAATTCTTTTCTGTGTGTGCGTAGAACGTAGGCAACTGCATGGCGCTCGATGTGAAGATTGGTGCTATTCTTTGCCTCGTTGCAGCAGATTCAATATTAGTTCGAAATGATCGCACCACGCTCTATTAGAGCTCGACCATTGCGAATGATGCACTGTTTTGTTCTTCTACATCCTATTACGACATCCAGATATGAAAGTTTTGTCTTATTTTTTACGTTAGTATCATTTCATGACTTCTCTTCAGCGCACATTAAGACGACCATGAACAAGTAAAATAAAACATCGATTCATTAGCGTAAAGATTAAAACATGCTGCACAAGAGCAGGCGAGAAAACCTGTAAATATTGCATCCTTTCTTTCCTCGAGTTTCCAACCTTTCAATTGGCATATCCAAATACTTGCAACGTGCTCACGCAGCACCTGCCGAAAACTTGGATCTAATTACATGTTGTTGCCTGTAACAATCGCTTCATTTATTTGAACGATATCACACGTCATTCGTTGCAAGCTTAAAACTCCAAATGATGGAACTTGCCTGACGGAGCGACATGGCGATGGTAGCCAATGAGAATCGTCGGTGGCGCTGCAATGGTCGTCGGTATACTTAAAAAAGCAGTCGTGGCAAACTGGGCTTCCATTGTGGCCTCGTTCCCTTTGTCCTGCTCCCTTGTTTGTATAGGAGGAGATGACACACGCCAGCGCTAATGAAATTCCTTGCAGCCTTGGAAAAGATCACTTGTCGAAACGTCGGCACGCACTGCAGTTTCCGAATTTCAGCTGCTCAGCTGAGACCCAGAGGAACAGTTCTGGGCAATTAGACGAGCCGAGGACGCCACCAGGGCACAAGGAGCTCCTGACTGACACGTGGGATCCGCTCTGTGTGCCGAGGCTGCCGGATTTTCAAAATAAAGTTGGTTTTTTTTTTTCATCCTCGTCCTCCTCACTGAAAACTTACAGCTTAGAAAATTTTCGGGGGGTGCTAGAACTCGAGCCACGGCCCTGCGTGCCTCGTAATCGCATTGGGGTTTTGGGACGCAGAACCACAACAATTTTTGAAAAGTAAGGAAGACAGGGCAAGAATACTGCGAGATAGTAATATAAAACAGGTGAAGAAAAAATGACGTGCCGGAGGACTACATTCACAGATATAAAAAAACAACTAAGGAACAAGCAAAGATATAAAAGAAAATAAGTTTAATCTAGATTTATGGGTACAATATTATTGTTGCTAATCAAAGAAAGAAAGAATAGGCAGCGTTATGAAACATGACAACGCTGATCAACCGTGGAGCAGCGTTGTGCAGTATGCAACAGTGTAGATAAAAAATGTTACACGACCGCAGAATAACCGTGCATAGCATAAGTAGTGCTATCTAGCTGCACTGGACATTTCTTACATGCATATTTAAAGCAATATACCCACCCGCATTTTCGAACCTTATTAACTACTTCTCGGTTTTTCTGCGTTGTCAGCTCTCATATCATCATCATCGTCATCAGCCTGACTATGCGACGACCATTGCAGGACAAAGGCTGCCAGTCAACTCGGTCATATGCTTTTTCCTGCCTTTTTATACCCACAAACTTCCTAATCGCGTATGCCCACCTAACTTTATGTCCATGGTAATAAGGGCTGCAGCGCGAGCACGAAGGTGCTAGAAGAAACAGACTAAAGGCGAGGCACGGAAGGCAAAGAGGACAACACGAGCGCTGACTACCAACTGAATTTTATTATTCGCAGCACACATGATAATATATACAACAGGCAACCTTTTAACATCAAACGTGAGCAATGTGACATATTCTGGGGAGTGTTCTGATAAATAGAAGGTACAAAAATGGCTAACCCTTATATAAATGCGCGAACTCTTTGTCATGCAAGGCCACCGAAGGATGACTCACGCATCCGTCACTACGTTTTCTAATAAAATACGCTTCAGCTATTTCACGAGTTAACTTGTCCATAGGGCGTGCCAG